TCTTCACATCAACTGTGTTTTGGGGAGATTGTTTTTATTTTTTGAGACAGGGTAGACTCTCAGATCTCAAACTCTCATCCTTCCACCACAGCCTCTCTAGTGCTGTCATTACAGGCTTGCGTCACCACACCAGCCACAACTTCATGTCCCTTAACTGCTGTATATAAATTGTCTACTGAAAGGATGTGCTATTATGTGGGTAACCAGTTTTCTACCAACTGTTAGATGGATTTCAGTGTTGGCTATTACAAGCAATGCTGGTTGGGCCCTTATAGACCACTGTCAGGACTTTTACTCTAACTGAGGTGGGAAACCACTAGAAAATTTGGCATCTAGGAGGAGCATGGTCTGTCTCACAGTCTAACAAGATCATTTAGGCTGCTGTCAGTCCCTTGCCACTCTCTCCATCAGCACTGGGTATTTCAACTTATTGGAAAAAATGTGGTATCACTATGTATGCCTCAACCATCATCCTCTCTGAAATCCAGTCTGGAGTGGTGTTGCTCCTGGGTGGTTGCTCACTAACTTAGAGGACGGCTGTGTATCACAGAGCACAGTGTGGATTCATACCAGTACCCTCTGATCTTTTTTTTTTGGTACCAGGGATCGAACTTGGGCCCTTGCGCTTGCGAGGCAGGTGGTAGAACCACTGAGCTAAATCCCTGGCCCTAGCACCCTCTGATCTTACCCACCTGAACCTGTGTCTGGGCCTCAGGTGCCTGGGATGGCACAGGCTCACGAGAACGAAGTCCTGTCTCTGAACTGCCCACCACCTGACTCCTGAATGAAGGTCCACCACCTGCGTTTCCCTGCCTCTGGTATGATTCCAGCTGCTGGGTTGGAGAACTGAAGGGTCAGGAACTATTTGGGGGCTTCTTTTGTTCATTTCTGCCAGTGAGAGCTATTTTTAATCCTATAATGTAATATAAAAATGAACAACATAATCAAAAGGTCTGAGGCTGTGACATCACTGCGTTTGATGGACTGGAGTGCTTCTCCATTCTTATCGCAATCTTGTCTTTCTTGGTTTGATAAAGAGGAATCCGAGGATGGGAGACCTGGCCAGGCTCCTCACCCCTGGGTCTTGCCCCTTACAGCTGGGATGACTTGGCTGGTAGGTGGATCATTCCTTCTCTGTGCAGACACAGTCTCAGGCCTCTCCGCCATCTCTGACTACAGCCGATGGAACTTGCCTTCATCCAGCCAGGCTCTGAAGGCAATTGAATTTGCACCCCCTGACAGATGTTGTCCACTTTCCACTGTGCAACTGTAGAGTGGCTACCAACTCCTGACATAGGCCCAGCAACAACCCAGCCTTGCTCACAAGCCCTCCACCCTAGCTGAGTCTCACTCCCTCTTCCTTCTGTTCTGAGGAGGTAGGAGAGGCCTTGAGCTTTGAGGCTGTGGGAAGAAAGCTCCAGTCTCTGCCTTCCTCAGATCCTGATATAATCATGAGGTTCAGAGCTGCATGCTCACCCATCCATCCACCCTGCTGCAGGGAAGAGCATAAAACAAGGCAACTCTGCAGAACAAATCAGACCAGCTCCCCTTCCTGGGGTGTTGGCCTTTCTCCAGGCACTGGGAATGTATGTATACTTCCTGAGTGCCAGGCATTGTATCGGGCTCTGGGACTCAGCATCAATAAGACAGACAAGGCCCTGTCTTCTCGCTGCTCACCAGCTAGTAAGGTGATGGAAAGTGTGGGGACTCGCTGGGCCTCTACCACCTCCGACACTCTTCGGCAGCAAGTGGGGCCTGTGATCTCCTAAAGCAGAATATTAATAATAACAACAGTAATTGTACTGGGCACTGTTCATGGTTCACGTATTCATGCCCTGAATCCTTACAACAACCCCTTAAGCTGGCAATGTCATCATCATCCTCATTACAGAGGGCGAGAGGTTCACACACAGCTCTGAAAACTGAAAAACTTTTTCTCAACTCGCTCACCTAGTGCAAATGATGCTTCCAATCTTGGTGAGTGACACACTTTTGCACAGCCTGTTGCATTTTAACCCCTTGAGAATGAGACAGAGGGAAATTGGGTTCCCGCCCAGAAGTAAAATTTAGGTTAGACTCTAGGAGGAGCTCACTGGCAACATTTAAGAGCATAAAAGAGAAAAGACTCCTTTCTGGGAATTTGCTTCTCCCATGAACTTTCCATATTGCATAAATAGCCTTGTAAAAATAGAGGAATTTTTCCAGAAAATAACACGCACAATTGCACTTCATGCATTATGTTCTATTTCCCATCTTTTTGGGCCAGATGAAGGCTGTTGGAGAGTTGGCCTGAGTAGGGAAAGAACTAGACCTTGTTCTGCTGCTATCTCAGCCCAAAGGCAGAGACGCATAGCCAGCAGAGCTAGCCCCTCTCGAGGCCCCAGCATACAGGTGACCCCAGGACAGGTGTCAGCAGAGGGAACAGGTCACCTCCCTACTACTCCAGGTCACCAGGGGACAGAAGGCAGAGGAAAGGCTGTGAGGGATTACCTGCTACTTCAGATGAAAGTCACCCAACACAGCTCACCACCCATGTACCCTGAAGGAAACAGGGAGAGGAAGAGGCACCCCTCAACAGATAGCAGGCAGAGTTAGCTGAAAAACAGAAGTGGCTTCCACGTTGACCACTGCTGGAGGGTCAGGAGACCCCCGATGCCTTAATTCACTCCACTTTGATCCAAGCTTCTTGGATAACTTGGGATGTCTCACCCAGTCTGTTGCCCCAAGGATTTCTTTTAGGTCTAATAAAATATGTGTCTTGTGTGAAACACTTTCAAGTTTGCAGATTATGATCTTCACAGTCCCTCAGCTTGGATTTTGATGCACATATCCATTACAGATAGGTGGGACAGGTATCATTATCCCCATATTTGCATTTAGATCATGTTTAGAATCACCTAATAGCCGGCAGAACCCGGTGCTAACTGAGGTCTTTTGATCTCTTAAGCCTCAGGTACTTTCTCTTGGTTTCCTCAGAGCATCTTCTGAATCTTTCCAAGTCTTTCCACTGCCTAAGCATGGACATTAGGGATAACCTCTCATTCCTATAGTTTAGGAGACAGCTTTAGAAGTTCTGCCCTGGCCTCTGGGGTCCACAGAGAACCCATCTGTGTCCCTGGTGGATGGATAGTTCCCCCCTCAGGCTTGGTCTGAGGCACTGGGACCCAGAACTTGTACAATGCCCTGCTAAGCTTCTTAGAGAAGGTGGGTATTAGCAGGATTGAATATTCTTCCCTGACATGCCCTTCACACTCGACCCTGCTTCGAATTAGGATTCCACAGGGGAACTGGGGGCAGGAGAATGGGGTGTTTCCTGCTATCCAGCTTCGGACACACTCTTTGAAACCCTGGAGTCTGGCAAATTCCCACAGCCGAGAGGACATCGGATGTCGGGGTTTGAAGGTAAATGATGCACTTAGGCAAGCAGGGGGGACCCATGGGGCTGCCAGCTCCGCTCTGTGATCCAGGCACAAGGGGAGGACAGATCCTCCCTGAAGTCTCTGCAGGTGACCCCAGTGGGCTTGCTACAGAGTGCTGAGTTCAAGGCAAGTTCAGAGGGCTGGGGGGAGATGCAAAGGAAATTAGAACAACCAAGGACCAAGAAGGAAGCTCACTTACTACTTCCCGTTTTTTTTGCTCATCCCTCTTTTGCTTTTTAAGACAACTGTACTTGTATCTCTACTTAGTGGGGTGTACTAGAAAGACTGGGGAATTAGGAGGCTCATCTGCCTGGCCACCCACCAGCTTTATGATGTTAAGCAAGTCACATGTCCTCCCTGGACCTCAGTACCTTCAGCTCTCACGTGGGGATGGTGCCAGGCAGATTGTATGGTTTACCCTGATACTGCTAATAAATTATTATCATGTGCAAACCCAGCCATTAGTTATTGTTTTATAATATCTGTGGATACTGTTTAGAAATTTAATTAACTATTGACTGGGGCCGAACTTTCATGCTCTTTATAAAATGAGGATTCTTTGAGGCTGGGGATTTAGCTCAGTGGTTCCGCTGCCTGCTTCACAAGCATAAGGTTCCAAGGCTGATCCCTGGTATCAAAAAATAAATATAAAATAAAACAAAATGAGGATTCTTTGAGCATCTTTTCTGTTTTTTTTTTTTTTTTTTTT